TAATATAGTCCCAGACTTTTGTGTTTCGCTCAATTTAGTCCTCCGTTTGTTATTCCGTCAAATTGGTGTTAAATAAAGGGACAAATCAATAATATCAATATTGACCTCTCTTTACTTTCAACCTGCGAAGTGAGAAATCTCTCTTTCTTACACGAATTACACCCAGAGTTGCTCTAAGATCTACGAATCAAATTTTATATTCGCAGCTTTAGAAGTGATCCTGGGAGTAATTCGTAAAAAAAGAGGGATTTCACACTTCACATGTCTATGAAAAAAGAGATGTCAATATTAAAATTATTGAATTGTCTATTTATTTAACAACAAATGGACGAAATAACAAATGGGGGACTAAAAATTGAGCCAAAACACAAAAGTCTGGGACGAAATTGAGTAAAAACACGAAACTCTAGGACTACATTTAGTCACCAAAGTCGTTTAGGACAAAATTGAGAAAAACCACTATAATCGAAGACGATTTTGGGTATTAACTCATAAAGAAATCAAATAAAAAATGAAGAGAGATACCAGTGAGAATAGGAATGGAACTGAACCACTGAGCATGCATAAGGACTTAGATTTACTTTTTTATTATTATTATTATTATTATTATTATTATTATTATTATTATTATTAAACAAACCATATTCAGTACGATTTAGTTTTATTTTTTACCAAATCGTTCGATTTGATTTTTTACCAAATTATTTGATATACAAGAATCTATTACTATTCAATTATTTGGTATATTAATAGTTTGATTTGGTTCGAGAAAATCTAATCGAATTACCAACCCGAGGCATGAAAAGAAACAAAATTACAAATTTATTTTTTCTTGTCACTTGCTCTGCAATTTATCTTCTCATTTTCCTTACTTTCTTCTATCCTATTCTACCATTGTACTAATCCAATCGTTAATACTCACTCTTTACCTTTTTACATGTGTTCTTTATTACTCCTTCCCACCGTCTCTAAATTGTTTATCACATTTACTTTTTGCACAATTTTTAATGTAACAAAACAAATGTTATTAACTTTTCAATTTTGAAAGAGAACACTATTTTGTGACAAACTAAAAAGAAAAGTATGACAATGTTACTAACTTTCCCATTTTGTCCCTCAAAAGTATGTATTATTTGTACAAAGTACAACTGTACTTACCTCATTAATAGTTTAAAATTTTGAAAAAATCAAAATGATAAATTAGAAACTGTAGAATGATAGTTATGTTCAGTTTTAGGAAGATGACATTATTTTGGAACAAACTAAAATGCAAAGTAAGACATATAAAATATAACGGAAAGAGTATTTATTGGTCAACCAATTCTTTCTTATTAATTATTTTTTTTAAATAATTTTAAATTTAACTTTTTGTATTTAATAATACTTTTATTGTATTTCTAAATATATAAATTTTATACACTAATAATAAACTTCAGTCGATTTTCAGTAACCAAATAGATATAAAATGGGATGAATGGAGTAGTATATATTCAAAAGAATATTTTTACAATATTGTCTTTTTGTGACAAAGAAATATGGGTTAATGGGTTATACCATTTTTAGTAAATTATTTAAAAATTATAATTGATATGACTAAAATATGATTTTAAATTTTTGGATGGAGAAGTTGTAGGGAAAGGAGGATAAAATCTTTCAATAATTAAATCCACACGCATTCATTATTTAGCACAAACACAAGCTGGATTTTCTAAATTATTTAATAATCATTTTCAGCATACTAATCATACGTCTTATACCGCACCCCAATCATTAGCCATAAACTAATACTAGTAGTTTGACGTCGCTGTTTACTAATAAGCCTTAAAAAAGTGTTATAATAAGATGAATATTAAATGAGTATATTATAAGAATTTTTATTTCCTACTTTATTTTTTACTCAATTATTATATGTTATGATGTTATGATGTTATGATTTAATTGATTAATTAAAGAGTGTATCATTATGTTTGTTTATTCTTTTTTCTTCATCAATCAATACAAATTAAATACTTAGTTGACGTTTGATTGGTGAATGCATTGAGAATGAAATATCATTTTATGGAATACATTTATTCTGCTATTTGGTTTGGGTTTTACTGCAAAAAATAAATAAATAAATAAATAAATAAATAAATAAATCACAAAATTGACTATTCCTTTTGCCATGAGAATAGCTATTCTCAAGGCCCCTATTTGTATTCGCTATTCCTAGTTAGTCCATTAGATTTTTATTTTTACTAATTCAAAAATACCATTATAAACCTTTATAAATACATATATTCCTAGATTTCTTTCAAACTCTTACCTTAATTGATTGACTTCCACCATCCTTAAGGTATGGGTACGGTTTCTCTTCTTTTTTATGTTTTAGTTTCATAATCTATATGTTTGCATATATATTTATTTTTTTGTTGTTTATTTTTTTTTTCCTCCAAACTTTTTGTGTATGTATATATGCTTTATTTTAATTTGTACAACTGTCCGTCTGTCCGGCCTTAAGGTCCCTCCGGAAGGTTTGCCGAGACTTCTGACTGCAAACACTGCCAAAGTTAGATTTAAAAGAGTTAGATAATGTCTGCTTTAAGGGTAACGATTTTTAAAAAATGCTTTATTTTGTATGTGTGTAGATATATATATGCACACGTGTGTGTAGATATATCTATGCACACGTATGTGTAATACATACACACGACATACAAGTACAAACTGGAAAAGTTTCAAGTTCATGCACACTAACATATATGTGTAATACATACATAGACACACCACACACGAATTCGTGTGTATGTATTGCGCGCGCACACACACATATATATGTATGTATATTGTTTTTTTTTTCTTTTTTTTTTTATTTTTATTTTTTTGTTTATTATTTGTATAGATATTCCGAAATTATATTTTCATTATACTAATTTCCAGTCATGGCTCATTAGCTCGTTTAACTTTATATGTGTTTTGTCTAGAATAGATACATTTTGATTATTGAAATTATAATCTTTTTCTATTCCATAATTCCGTCAAACACAAGGATATGAATCGTTATATAATCTTATGTTTATTTTCTTATCAACGAGACAATAGAATACTATTCATATTCTATTATTACTTTCTTAGGTCTTGTTTGGTAATTAATATAATTAGCTTATCAATCAATTTTGACTTATTTGACCACTATTAGCTGTTTGACCTGATAAAATAATCAATGAGTGTTTGATTAATTAGCTTTTTAATTTGTAACAACTTATTGTTTCAAAATGTTAAAATTCAAAAAGCTGCTCAAAGTAGCTTTATCGATCAGCTTTTTCAAAAAGTCATTTTACATGTAATAAACTATCAGCTAATTTACCAAACACTTTTATACAATCAACTAATATTATCAATAAGTCAAACTCATTAACCTAATCAGCTAATAACTATTTACCCAACATCCTCTTATTTTATTTTTGTTAAAATTCTATTCTATTCCATTCCCTTTATTTTAATTTATTCTTTGAACCAAATATCACATTACTGATGTGAATTATAGTTCAATTCATAGAATACAGTTGCCATTTTCCATATTAAATATGTGCGTATGAGATAATGTTATCCAAGAATCGAATATAGATACACCGTACACATGGCTGTCTTTTGTGTTGGGCCCCGCCAATAGGCATTTGATTAGGAAAAATCATTACAATTTGAATTACCCAACTTAGCAGTGGATTTGATGTTTCAATCCACTTCCCCTCATTAAATATGAATCATATGATTAGATACTAGTAACACTGTACTTAACTTATCTGTTTGTACTCTATCCAAAGTGATGTATAGTTGATGATTTGATTATATCAAGATAAATAATACATTTGTTCAAAGTTACAAATTAAATGGATTATATTGATTATAGAGTGACATAGTGAGATTGAAATAGTTTTATTACACTAATTATGATTTGTAAAGAAATTTCATTAAAAAGGGCAAGTCGTGTGTTTAATTGAAGTGGAAATTACTTTCATCAACACCATTTAATTAATTGCTTTAATCTCATTCATTGTTCAAAGAGAACTTAAAAAGGTCTGCATGGACATTTAAATTGATCACATATGTAAAATTTGTCACAAGAAATTAAAGATCAAGTCTTAAAAAATTTAGCCTATGTTGATGTTTTATCCATAGAGAAAAATAAAAAGATTTGTCTGCATCAAATTCATCATTATGGATTTAATCATATACTCAACTACTCTCTCCGTCTCATTTTACTTGTCTTACATTCCTTTTAAACTTGTTTCAAAATAGTGTCATCTTTCTAAAATTGAACATAACTATCACTCTACATTACCCAATTTACCTTTTTAACTTTTTAAATTTCTAGAGGTAAGTACAATTGTACTTTATACAAATAACACATACTTTTGAAGGACAAAAACCGTGCAAAAAGCAAATAAGACAATCGATTAGGGACAGAGGGAGTATAATAATACTCCGTAATAGCTCAGGAGAGTTTAAAGTAGCTTCGTTGCCGAACTTAAAGGTCATGACTGGAGGTAATAGTGTGAAGGTTCAAATCTCACTGGAAACATGTATAAGATAAATAGGTCAGGATGTTGGAAGGTCTAGATTGGATTCTAGGGGTGGAATCCTGTGGATTTCTAATTAGGTGAGAACAACCTTAACTTGTGAACTTCAAACTGCGAACTTGTGAAGGATTACAGTGCAATCATATCTAGGTGCGGTGCAATCATGTAGTAAGTGCAATCCTTCACAAATTTGCAGTTTGCAGGTTAATGTTAGTTCTTACCTGATTATAGACTGAATCTGTGAATATAAGATTAGTCCGACAAAATTGGTATGACTAACTTAAAAAAAAAAAAAAAAAAAAAAAAAAACTACTCCCTATAATAATAATATCAAATAAATTTACCCAAGTAATGCTTATCAATTCATCATAATCTATATTTGTATGTACTAAAAATAACATTTGGATATAAATAGTCAGAGCGTGAGTGGTGATGAATTAAGAGGAGATCAGATGCGTGTACAAGTATGGATGCAGGAGAAATAAATTCAAAAAAAATAAAAGATGTCAATGGGAAACGGTGGGGAGGGGGACAGATGGAGATAAACAGTGTCCGCTAGCTTCAAACCGTCCAAATCATTTTGGTCTTTAATCTTTCCAGTCTATAATTCGGGTCGACCAAGCTAAGCTAGAAGATTTTATACTCTATTCTACTCTGAATCTCAACCCCCCTCTCCTCCTCTCCCAACAAAACCTCCTTATCTATGGCTGTAATCGTCGGTGGGTTGTTGCGGGCCGGTGAATCTGGGTAGCTAGATAGCTAGCTAGCTGTTGTTCTTCGGGAAGCATAATCGTGATTTTCCGGATGGAAGTGATGATGAATTTTAGCTTTAAATAACAAAAGGAAGTGATTTTTAGTTGCTTTTTATAGAGTTGCAGAGAGGATGAATCACTGCGTTCCGGATTTTGACATGGATGAGGACTTCAATCTTCCTCCCACCGCTACTTCTTCCTCTGGTTTAACCAGGCATAAGAAGTCTGCAATGTAAGTTTTCTGCTCTCTCTCTCTCTCTTCTCCGCCCTACCTGTTGTGGTTAACAGGTTTGGATTTGTGATGGAAGTTATTGGGGGGTTTTGATTTGATTTGATTTTATAGGGGTGAAGAGGATATCATGGAGCTGCTATGGCAGAACGGTCAAGTTGTTGTGCATAGTCAAAACCACAGATCTTTTCATAAATCTCACTTTTCCGGGGATGCCGCGATTCCGGCTGAGCAGCCTGTCACCAAGGAGATTCGACCGGCGGGAGAAGAAACGGCGGCGAATCAGCATGTGTTCATGCAGGAGGATGAGATGGCGTCGTGGCTTCACTACCCTCTCGAAGAGCCCTCGTTTGACCGTGATCTCTATGCCGATTTGCTGTATCCACCAGCTTCGTGTGCTCCCGTCTACGCCGCCCCAACCACCGCCGCGCCACCGCGCGAAATCCGTCCGCCCGTATCTGAGATCCGTCATCTTCCGATGCATCAGCCGCCAGCTCCAAGGCCACCTATTATACCTCCGGCGAAAAACGCCGACCTCGAAGGCGCGCCACGTGTACAGAATTTCGGCCATTTTTCGCGGCTGCCTAGGGCTAGGATCGAACCTGGACCCTCGAGTTCGAGCCAGGCTGCGAGAGAATCGACGGTCGTGGACTCGAACGAGACTCCGATGGTGAAAGCTGAATCTCTAGCTTCACGCGTCGCAGAGAGTGTGGCGCCGGTTTCTGGCGGGAATGTAGGCACTGTAGCCACCGGCACGTCCACCGGCAATAGGGAAATGATGACGTGTGAACAAACGGTGACGTCATCCCCCGGCGGCTCAGGTGCCAGCGCCAGTGCGGAGCCGCCACAGAAGCCGGCGCCAACAGCGACGGACGATCGGAAGCGTAAAGGAAGAGAAACGGACGACACGGAGGGTCACAGTGAGGTAAGCAGTTTTGCTCTTCTTTCGGTGCATGGTAGCAATTTGGCACAACGCTTACTTCTGCCGTACACGTGGAATCTTAGTGTATCAGGGTTCTGACACGTGTGTCATTGTAAACCATGAAAGATGTTTTTACTGGTCACTGCAAAGTCTACAAATGAGACTAGGTCAATGGAGACATAGAGTTACCAACTAGCTACAGTATAAAACCTTCAAGATGACAGTTTTCTTTGCAGAAAATTACTGTTGAAACGCAGTGGGAAGATTTCTGCCTTCCTTTACATGCCAAAGAATATTATTGGCCATTAAAAATGAACAGAGACAACCTCTAAATCAATACTCATTTTATACTCTTTCTTTGCCATTGTCTTTGTGTGCCTTGTGATATCAAACTTTGGTATTCAAAGATAGATTGTAATTGATGTGACACATAATTGTGACATGACCATATAATTTGTGATTTTTCAAGCATTGTAAATTTTTTTTTTTTTTATCATGGATATGCCTAGATTTAATTTTTTTTGGGTGACGAGGGAAACTCGCAGCCACTACCTGAGGGTGTGCATTGGATAAACCCAAACCCCGCCTGATCATAGCTTCACGGCTCAAACCAAGAGGGCTGAGATTCGAACCCGTGACCTTGTGGTTACAAGTTTGTATGCCTTAGATTTAATTTGTGAATGATTATTAGGTCTTGTAACAAATTACTTTAGACATGAATATAAGCATAGGGAAAAGGTGAAGCATATCTCTTATGGGGTTACCGCAACAACTACTATTAGTTTATAGATAATATCTTATGTCTAAATGAGTGTGATACCTGCTTTTGTCCTTGACAAAGTTGGAAATATGATTCATTGCACTTGGCACAACCGCACAAGACTATCGTTTGGATGGTTTGGGTGCTTGTTTTGCCTGTCGGTGTATAATTCAGCAAAGGACAAATTTTGTGCAACAAGGGAGCCTTATATTACCTTATGTTGTTTGCCAGAAGGAGAATGCAGGAATAAGGAAAGCCTGTTAGTAGCTTTTGAGAAATGAGATTAAGTAACACTCTTAACTTGAATGTGAAATGTTGTTGGGAGAGACTATAGTCCGGTGTCCTGTTTGATAATGGATGCTGGGTGAGGATATTGAAACTCAAGAGTTCCTTTGCTTTTTAATTGCCCTTCGTATTAATATTGTTATATGTAGTTTAGTTTGGTCCTAGTATACATCATATGTGGAAAAGTGTGCTGATTGTTTATTGATATAACTGGTTTATCTTAGTTGAGTATCATTTATTTAAAATAAAAATCTGAAAAAGGATAGTACATTTTACTTACTAAAAAAAAAACCCATACCAACAACATCACTATTGGATAAGTAATCTTTTAATGCTGTAACTCAGTTCTAATTCTCTTGGATCTGATAAAAGCAAAAAAAGAGGAGAAAGTATAAGTCTACCTAATCTGATGGTTGCATTCTTTACTGGTCGATATCCTCCATCCTTGTGATGCATAATCTTAACAAAATTTCTTTTTGCCGATATCATAACATATATGGTCTGATATTGTGATCATCACATTGTTATAGATATTACATATATGAAATTAGATTTTACATGTGAAGTTTCCATTAAATGTAATATGTTAGAGAATTACCAGCACTTATTGTTTGAATTTTGGTTATTTGTTAGCATTTTTGTGTTTGTTAAACATTTTTCTCCATGTGTTCTTTTTGAGCCGTGAAAATATAGAAGTAACAGTGATATTTGCAAAAAAGTTGCTTCTAGTGATCAAATATCACCACCTTCTTACATGGTTTCTTCACGGGTGCATTTTGCATTACCAAAGAATGACTGTTATTCACATATGTGAAGGGATGGGATGGACTTAAATTCTCTTTTTCTATACTCGTTAAAATGGTTCCATGGAACTTGGTATTCTAATTAGTGGCTCATACCTTAAAATTTATGCAATGAATGGATTTCTGCTATCATAGGACATTGACTTAGAGTCTGCTGATACAAAGAAGCAAGCCCGTGGTTCAGCTACAAAGAGATCTCGTGCTGCAGAAGTCCATAATCTCTCGGAAAGGGTATTTACTTTTGTGATTATTCTGCTGATTTGTTTTATTGTTTATCATGTTCTGACTGTACACACAACTCTCAATGTTGAGTGCAGAGGCGTCGAGATAGGATTAATGAAAAGATGAGGGCTTTGCAGGAACTCATACCACGTTGCAACAAGGTTTTGATGCACTGAAGTCTTAGTTATGTTTCTGCCTTGGAAATGCCGTTTTATAGAAAAGCTGATTTACACTCATCATATTACTGTTTTCTTGAATTTCAGTCAGACAAAGCTTCAATGTTAGACGATGCAATTGAGTACTTGAAATCGTTACAATTGCAAGTGCAAGTATGTTTCAGACTATTTTTTGCTTGCTTTTGAAGATCGCTGGAAACTCTTTTGCCCTTAATTATTTGCTTTCTATGTTTTGCATCTCCTAGGCGAGACTCCCTCATCTTACACCCATTTACTACCGCCAGTCTAAAATTACCTATAATAGTACACAAAGAAAAGAGTGTTCTGCTTACTGTGTTACACAGATTAGATATTTTACTTTATTAGATGACTTTTAGGTTTCTTGACGTTGATACTTTATCCTGTTGAATCTCAATTTAAGCACGGTTGTTCCTTCCACTATGATGGAAATTCCTGTAACATGGATAAATAGAGACCTCTAGATTACGTAATATGGAATTTTATTTCCCCTGTTTCAACTAGAATAAATTTGTTTCCTTCACTTTTCATTGATTCAATATCTCTATCTAGAAGTAAAATGCTCTTAAATGACCTTCCATTTCAAGTCCAGTTAGTTGTATGTGAAGTGAGAATTGTCAAATGCAGAATGACTCTTGAATATAGATTTCAGATTTCACAATCCACTTATTTATTATCAGTCATCATATAGCATCTTCCTGTGAGTTGACTTCTACATATCCATGATTTATATCCATATGTATTTAAGAATTTGATTGCAAATGTTTTTCACAGATGATGTCTATGGGATGTGGCATGGTCCCTATGATGTATCCTGGTATCCAGCAGTATATGCCAGCAATGGGTATGAGTATGGGCATGGGGATGTGCATGGAAATGGGCATGAATCGTGGAATGGTTCCATATCCACCACTTCTACCCGGTTCGTCATTGCCAAATGCAACAGCAGCAGCACAGATAAGTCCACGGTTTGCTATGCCACCATCATTTCCAATGCCACCAGTTCCTATGCCTGATCCATCTAGAGTTCAGACCTCAAACCAACCCGATCCCATGCTAAACCCACTCATTACCCATAATCCTAACCAGCAACAAATACCAAACTGTGCTGATCCATATCAGCAATTATTTGGTCTTCACCAGGCACAAGCAACATTACCGCTGGTAAGTGGCAGTCATCGTGTGTGTGTGTATATATATATATATATATATATATATATATATATATATTTTTTTTCTTGGGTGATGAGGGAAACCCGCAGCCACTACCCAATGGTGTGTGCACTGGGTAAACCCCACCTTGTGACCCTAGCCGGCAAAGAACCACAAAGAGGTAAACCAGCTTAGGTTATCCATAGTTGATTGACTCAAACCAAGAAGGCCAATAGGCTGCTCTTGTTGGGAGTTAAACTTGTAACCTTGTGGTGACCAAGTCAACAGTGTGACCAACTTGACTGGAGTTGTCCCCAACCTATCTTTTTTTGTTAGACCACGAAGTGTCCTGAGTAGTCGTAACTGTAGAGGCACTTTAAGCCTGTAATAGTCATGTATTACTCTCTCAAGCATCTTAATGTAAAATCTTTGACTTTGAACTACATTCTATAATATCATGAAGATGAAGAGCCCTCATTTCACATTTATTATATTAATAATTAACTGGTCCTATAGGCACTTGAATGCAGTATGCGCCCCATTATATACATCTCTTTTCTTCCTCAGCTTAATAAGTTAATAAGCAGTCATAAAATACTTTTAATTTTTTAACTGAAAAAATATTTCAGGAGCTTAGTGACAATTCAGTAACATATACCTCTAAATTTGTTTGTCCCATTTATCTATCCTTACGTGATCTTTGTTCTTTCCTTTTTCTTCCCCATTTTAACCCCAGAATCAAACAGTGGAACATCCTATTAATAGCAAGCCAAGCAGCAGCAAAGATGTTGGGAATCCAGGGAATCATCAATCTCGTAAGTTTCTTATTACAAATATTCTTAATTCTACACAAATTACAAAGAATGCATAAATGTAAAGTTAATGAAGTAGAATAGTGCCAATAATCACTCTTAAGATTTGTTGGAAAGGAAGTTTACAAATATTGATGTTCATATCAATTGCTCTAAGAGTCATGACAGACATTTTACAAAGCCGCCATTTAAACTAGAAACATGGTGGTGCTTTAAACTGCATTGAAAAGATATAAGACCTGATCTGAAGAGGAAATATAATAATTTTGAGTAGGAGCGAAAACTACCCTTCTAGGATGGAGGTTGACATAGGGATATATTTCATATTGTCCTATTTTACCCGTCTTACTTTCATTTTTGTCTATTTTTAAAATTGAACATCACCATCATTTTACTTTTCCCAATTTACCCGTATGACTTTTGTTTTCTTTATTGCTTTTATTTTCAAAAGTAAGAAAAGTAAGGAGCATAATTGGAAAACATATGACATTTACTTTAACTCATTAAAAATCGTGCAAAAAGTAAATGTGACAACTAATTCGGGACAGAGGGAGTATAAGTGTATAACACATGCCATACATTTACAGAACTGGGAATTATTAGTTCATGATGATTACTCTGCAATTTCAGGTTGATGATTTCCAGGTAGGCCATTTATGGTAAGTCTACCACCAACCAAATTTTGTAGAGTAAGAGAAGCAGTAATGTGAATGCATGCAGTCTACATTTGCTTGCGGCCTCTGGAATGCACCGCAGCTAACATGTTACATGTAACTATTCCTGTATGATCAAAGTTCCTTTTATTTATTTGTTGCTTTTAATACCCTCTTGCAAGTGCTATATATGTTAGTATGATTTTAGAATTTTAGTTAAGTTCTCAAAGAAATTACTATTTTAGTATATATTAGACATAGATTAACACCTTTATGTTTTGAGGGTAAGGTTATTATGTATCTTAAATAAAGTCCTTTTGTTCATTTTGGAATTCTCAGTTAGTACATAATGGAAAATATGTTGATATTATAAGTTTCAAAGTAAATTGCGTCTAATTTAATGCGTCAAGGATAATATTATATTGCGTTCACATAATGTGATAAATGTATATAACAATGTCATGGACAAGATTATATATATTTTCTAATTTTTGGACGTTCCACGTAGCTATGCATCCGAAAAAATAAATAAATAAATAAAGTTATCTCTTCTAGTTTGTTGTCGACGAAACTTGGTGGGAAGTTTTCAACATCTCTTCTCAGTTCTCACTGAGTATTGTTGGGCATTCTTTCGTCTCCGGTGTTCTTTGCGTCTCTTGGGCTGACCAACATATTGTTATTTTGACCGATTACTCTTGATAGTGGGTCAAGGGATTCTCGGGCGGGTTTTTGACTGAAATGGGCATTGGAAAGTGATTGTGGACAATAATGGGAGGTCAAATTTTTTTGGACAAGAATGGAAAAACGCGTTTGGGAAACGCGGATGTGGTCAAAACCGCATTTCTCAAACGCGTGTGACGGGCTTGCATACTCTACGAACAACCGCATTTGGGAAATGCGATTGTCCTATAATATACGACAGCCGCATTTCTCAAATGCGGTTGTCATATAGACATAGCCGCGTTTGAGAAATGCGGCTCTCGTATATTATATGACAATCGCATTTCCCAAATGCGGCTATGGTATTTGTCGAAAACAATCTGCCATGGCTAAAGGAGGGAAGCTCACGAAGATCAAGTCAGCCGTCCTCAAGAAAATGCAGTCTTTCAAGCTCAGCCGGGGTACAGGCGGCGGAAGCTCCGTCGTCGTCGCCACACATGGTCGTGTCGCCTGATCCACCATGCACCTTCATCCCTCCATTCTCTACAAGCACCGTACCCACCATTGCTGTCATCTCCTCTCCATTCTCCATCCCCACCTCGCAACCAACATTTATCTGATCTGCAGAACTAATTAATACCAATGCAATAGTACAGTGAAGTCCCGGGTCTACCCCATTTTAAAAGTTGATGGCTTCTTTTAACCTAACAGCTATGTAGCATGAAAACAAAAAATAAGCTCTTTTTTAAAAATCAAGTCGATCACTTGAGTTCGTGTTTTCATTAATTAGTATTATGGTACAATCTTCATGCACGAATGATATAGTTAGATCGATCATATTATGTTTTTGCACGGTTGTTTGTAGTAGTACGGGCAGTAGGGTAATTTGTACTTTTGTAAAGTTTTATGCACTATATATTTTGTTTGGTTATATAAATGAAAGAAAAAGAAATATGCACTTATTATAGTGTTGTTTGATGTGAAAAACTGCTGGGACCAAATTTAAAGGGATAAAAAACAAAGAGAAGGCAGAAGAATAGTGTGTGCTAACACTTGCACTGTTACACTCGACAAGCTCGTCCAGGGATTCCGGCTGGGGATCGGCATTCTCGAGCATCCACAGCAAGTGTTCGAACAGCACCACTTCGCATCTGACGGCGATGGACTCGTCGGAGTAGCTGCCGGACCGCTCCGCCAGTTCGCGGAACAGGGGGTGGTCGATAATGTCGGAGCCGACCAGGTACCGGCGGCGAGACTTGCCCACGTACACCGGGTGGAGGTCCTTAGAAGAGGCGGCAGCGCTGTAAGGGCCGGAGCAGTGCTCGTCGTCGGAGAAGGAGTTGGTGGTGGCGACGACGACGGAGCTTCCGCCGCCTGTACCGCGGCTGAGCTTGAAAGACTGCATTTTCTTGAGGACGGCTGACTTGAACTTCGTGAGCTTCCATCCTTTAGCCATGGCGGATTGTTTTCGACAAATACCATAGCCGCATTTGGGAAATGCGGCTACCGTATAATATACTAGAGCCGCATTTCTCAAACGCGGCTATGTCTATACGACAACCGCATTTGAGAAATGCGGCTGTCGTATAACCGCATTTTCCAAATGCGGTTGTCCGTAGAGTATGCAAGCCCGTCACACGCGTTTGGGAAATGCGGTTTTGACCACATCCGCGTTTGGCGCGTTTTTCCCATTCTTATCCAAAAAAATTTGACCTCCCATTATTGTCCATAATCACTTCCCAATGTCCATTTCAGTCAAAAACCCTTCTCCGGCCACGTATGTTGGGAAAATGCAAGTCAATGGACTTTTCTATATTTCTCAAACATCCTAGTGATTAATCTTGATTTATACTTATTATAAGTTGGTGAATGTCCAAGATTTGTTAAGTGGTATGTGGTCATAATCGGGCCTCTAATATTTAAATAAGATATTCTTGAGTTAGATAGATAGACAAACATTGTTTGATGTCTTTATTATATCTTTTTCCACCTTGATAATGCTGTTGTTGTATGTGAGCTTGCACGGATAGTGGCAATTTGCTTCTATTGTAGTGGGTATTCCATGGTGCAACATTTCTTTAATTTCGCATTATCAGCCTTATTTCCCCAAGACCCCAACGTAACAATGTAGAAATGAATTCGGTGCTGATAAGTGTAAAAATGGTATATCATCATTATGAGAAGATAAGGACATGTGTTTGCATTCCGGGGATATGCAGTTGTGTTTTGGGGCTTATCATTATTAATGCTTTAATAATTAATATACATGTGCATATTCATATATATAATGCATATGGGTCTTTGCAGCACAAGTGGATAAGCAATAGAGAACAAAAAGCAAACACTATTGGTGGTTTCAATTCATACAATGCATGCATACACTATCACTAACAGTTTCATTTTCTGGCTCCATTGGTTATGCATTGTTCACGTAGATAACCTTAGCTTTCGAATAAGATTGCAAAACGTGATTTGCATAACTAAGAGGTTAGCTACATTTGATACTTGCATTTCGGCACGCAAGATAAGGTTGCTATATTTTTTGGATAATGTGTAGTGACCCAAGAGAATTTCCGTAAATGTGTACTGACTTTTTTTTTTTGATAGAAATGTGTAAAACTCACTTCGGACTTGTGTTTTTGGAGTTGTCCCGAGTTTATTATTATTATTTTCATTATTTACTTAAAACGCAAGTAGGAGTTGCGTTTTTCGTATTGTATACGTAAAACGCATATGCCAAAAGCGTTTTCATGTGACGTATCGAATACGTTAAAACGCATTTGGGAGATGCGTTTTACGTATAATACTTTAAAATACGAAAAACGCAACTCCCAAATGCGGTTTATTTACTGGCGGCACTCCGCCAGAATTGTGTGTAAAATGCAAGAAGCACTTGCGTTTTACGAATTATTCCGGCGCCTGTGACTTGGTATTCTAAAACGCATTCGCCAAGTGCGTGAGAGGTGGGGGAGAGTCAGGTAGTCGGGTACGGCGTTGACTGCACATGGCGCAACCCGTACGTAGAACAAACGGATTTCTAAACACCCCCCTGTGGGTCAATCTCACAGTCCCATAGTCTTCAGCAATCACCAGCACCTTATCGTGCTGCTTTTGCCTGGCAATGCTTATCATTCAGCCAGTTGTTCAAGAAGGGCAAGTAAGGCTCACTCACAGCGCAGACTATCAGAGTCCCATTACTCGACACGTGGGCCGCCGCCTGCGCCAACGTGTACTCCCGCCACTTGGATTGCGAGATCTTAGAGCTGGAAGTGAGGGGTGTAAACGAGCCGAGCCGAGCCCGAACCTGGGTAGGCTCATGCTCGTGCTCGTTAATGATAGCACTTCTCGAGCTCGAGCTCGAGCTCGTTCGAGCTCGTGAATTGATGCTCGAGCTCGAGCTTGGCAATTGTCGAGCTCGAGCAGCTCGATTGTTCGAGCTCGAGTTTAGGCTCGAATTTGAGGTCAATTTTGATATCAAATTTGACATGTTTGATTCAAAATTTAAACTACTTTGTTTTATGACTTTTATTCATACATAATTATTAAAGTATTTTAATTTCACTCCCCTAATTATTATTTTTATATACTAAATATAATATAATTATATTACATATTATATATTATATAATATATTATAAGGCTCGCGAACGGCTCGTCGAGTCGCGAGCCTACAATACCTAAGCTCGGCTCGTGCTCGTTTAATCCACGAGCTACTCGAGCTCGAGCCGAGCTCGATTTTAACCGAGTTCGAGTCGAGCGTTAACCGAACCGCTCACGAGCGACTCGCGAGCAGCTCGGCTCATTTACACCCCTAGCTGGAACCGATCTGGAAAAGCCCGATACTGGGGATTTGAGCCCATGGGAAGAGAACTTCGAGGATCACGAGAAGAGTGAGGAGAAGAACTAAGGAGGTCCTGTGGAAAATTAAAAAACGCAAATACAATATGCGTTTTACGTATTCAACGATCAACGCATGTGCTTATTGCGTTTTGTTGTTTTTGCAGTCGCTGGAGAGTGCCGGTGTACAAAACCAGTAAACGCAACTTACTTTTGCGTTTTAGGTATAATACGTAAAACGCAAAAGTAAGTTGTGTTTTCAACTATACCGTATCTTTTGAAAAACGCGTTCCGGTAATGCGTTTTACGTATACGAATACGTTACGTAAATACAGAAAAAAAAAAAAAAAAAAAAAAAAAACGCTCGCGACACAACCAAAAACGCAACTCCCAACGGAGTTTTGCACATTCATGTCAAAAAAAAAAACAGGACACTAATTTGGAAATATGCGCTGTTGACTACACATTTCGGTCTTTGATCCATATTTTTTAACATATCGTGACTTAGTTTCTATTATATTTATGGTAATGCTTTATATACCTACATATATCTCCTTTAATTTATTTGGTTTTATGCTCTTAAATTTTTAAGTGCATGTAATTATAATTATGATGATATATGTGGTTGCTTATCATAAGTTTTATTTTGCATGAAAATAAAGAATTATCACTGTTGGAAATTATGGAATTTCCGACCACCTAAAAATGATCTTAAATCAAGTCCAAAGTCTTGTTCCGATCACTTTTGGTATCCGGAAAAACCTTTGTTGCTATTTCCGATCACTTTTTGCTTTCAACTTGATATAATATTACTTTCAGGTGGTCGGAAATTCCATAATTTCCAGCCGTGAGATCATGAATTTTTCAAATTAAAAATCATTTGTTATTTAAATTAATATGTTGGAAAATATGTTGTTTCACTATCTTTTTAAGGCTGGTCAAAGATCATAATTCATTCTAAGTGCTTGCTATGATTTATAGCTTTGCCTTTCAAAGGCTAGTAAGAAATTAAAAGTGCAACCTTGATCTTTTTCGGAATTGCTAGTGTTCACATACACTGCAATATGATGTTTGTTGAGCATATAATATAACATAAACAATCCAACTATTAGTTTAGGCTTTTAGTTGAGATAGAGCACATGAGTCAATTTAATTAGTATTAGAGCCCGATCAAAGGTCAAAAGTATCGGTCCGCACACGTGAGGGGGCGTGTTGAACATATACTATAACATAAACATAAATGTGCAATCTAACTAAGGGGGCGTGTTGAGCATATAATAAAACATAAATGTGCAATTCAACTATTAGCTTAGGCTTTTAGTTGAGATGGAGCACATGCTTCAATTATGTTTATCTTTTCCTACATAATTATCTTTGTAGCATATTGATCTTGAAAATTTGAAATGGCAAGATCATTATTCAAATATTTTCTCTTGCTCTTAATGTCCAAGATAAAAATGATTAATCTTGATGATCAATATCTCATGTTATAATGTCTACGTGTAGGCATGTATTTCTTGCAATTTGAGATTGAGGAACACAAATTTATCATACCCCATAATTAATTTATTGGTGGGACTATTTGTTCTTTCAAAAAAAGGATATGAGATGCATATATATTATTATCATATGATTTTAGAGATTTGTATCATGTATTGAATTAGTTTTATAATGGCAACAAACATATATTTTGGCTTTAGTCTAAATGTTGTAACTTGTTAGTAGCCTAGAAGAGTCATATTTTCAACGGAAAGCTTAAACAATTCTTGAATACTCTGTCTAAGAAGATGATCTTTAAGTAAACTTCAATTTCACCATTCGATCTGAGAGTTTTTTTTTTAGAAAGAGTTTTTAAGAAGTAGGGTTTTGTTCATGTAGGCAGTTAAAGCGTCACTTGATTCTCACCTGAAATGAGATTGACTTTCACATGATGTTAAAAATCTAAGAATTGCAAATAGCTTGCTTTAGTTTACATTATGTCAGTTCAATGAAGTTTCTAATTCTTTTTTGAGTTAATACCATCCGAGGTCCTCCGAATATAGTAGTTTTGCCACATTTAGTCTTAAACTTTCAAATTGACCATATGTGGTCCTTCGACTTTCAAATTTAACCATTCGTGGTCCAAGTTAACCACCCATGGTCCTTCAAGTTTCAAAACTTAACCAGTTGTGATCCTCTTAAAAGGACCATGGTTGGTTAAAATTTAATAGAGACTAGACGTGGCAAAATGACTATACTCGGAGGACCACAAACGGTATTAACTCTTCTTTTTTAAACAAGAAAAAGAAAAGAAAGGAAAAAAGGTTGGGATAACCTTAAGATGTTAAAGCTATTGCACTTTGTTGAAATTTCTTAGCTATATTGTTGAATATATTCTTTGCATATGAAATTATTTTATCTTAAGAATACTATGCGAAATTTGTTTATGTTGTTCAACTTGAAGCAGCATGCAAACAACATTATTTCTTTGGCATAACATTATTTCTTTGACTTACTAGCAATGAGTATTTATTATTATTTACAATCTTGATTGAATCATCTTGAAGATCTAGGATTCTTATTTAAAGGGAAAACTTGGTGGGTTGAGATAACTAAGGGTGTGTTTGGTTGGTGGGTTTTGCCTATAAGAATGGGTATGAAAGTGATTGTTGTTGTTTGGTTAATAGGTTTTTAGAACACTACTATGGGTCTCGAATACTCCATCAATTGAAAAACCCATACCCAAATACAATAAGGGTTTCATTCCCTTATTCATTCTTAACCACTACTATTAGTAAACATTCCCATTTCACCCTACAACCAAACATGTTAAATACTTTCACCAAAACCCATTACCATTATCAAGTATTTGATACCTATTCCGATTCCAATTCCTATGTGCGAACCAAACACACCCTAAGTTTGTTGGAATATATTCAACTATTGAGTGTGTAATAACCAATGAGGATACATGCCTTTTCAAGAAAGTTTCTTGAAAAATTACAAAAGTAAGATTTTAAGGACAAGTTGCAAATCTCTATTGGACGCAATTTTCTCATGTCAAATCCAAACTAATATTTTAATGGCAAGTGAATGAAGTTTGAGATTTTCTTCTTCCAATGTACAAGTTCGAAGACACGTCTATAAATGGCTTGAACATTAAAGAGAAGAGACACAAGATATATTCAAACTTACAATTTCAAGGATTTTACAATGCTCAAATTGCATTCAATCAAGTTCAAAAGAGACCTCAAGGCTACAAAGATCAAATTAGCCCTTTCAAGTCTCTTAAGTTGGAAACTCCAATTGTTGTAGAATCATTGTATCTCTACATAGAGTAGAAAGAGGAAGAGTAACAAGAATGCTTATGGAACTATTGATTAGTTTTTTTTTTTTTTTTTTTTTTTTTTTTTTTTTTTTTTTTTTTTTTGTTTTCAAAGAACTTGATCAATTTCACCGTAATTGTACTGGAGTTAAGGTTATAGTGAATTTCTCCTGGAGTAACATCACTATCAAACCATTATAAATTCTATTGGCTCATTTATTAAGGTGGTGAATTTAAGAAGAAAAATACAGGGAACAATCTAGGAGAAAATTCTACAAGAGAGATAATCTATGAAGAGAAGCTCTGATTGAACATCATTTTGTACATATCAATCAAGAGATTGAATATAAAGATCATGGTTGAGTTTTCTATTTATGTGCGCTAAATTGTAGCTTTGAAGACCTTGTGTATGGATAACATAGTTGGGCATTAACACCATTAGCAGTCGAGGATATACAGTGAGTGAAACCTCGAAGAACAGGTTGAGGGAGATCAAGGATGTTCATTCGACAATCCTGGAAGTGCTTCAATAGAGACTAGGTTCTACGGTCAAGAGGAATATCACTAGGTAAATAGATGTTACCTTTCTTTGTTCGGAAGTGAGCACTTAGTGGATTGAGTTTTCACAAATTAGTGGGGCCCCAGATGTAGGAGAGGTATATCACTCTGAACTGGGTAAACAAATCATTTTTGTTCATTTAGTTTATGCTACGATCATCGTCATTGTTTAAAATACTACCTAAGCAGTCATGTAAATGAACTAAACACAAGTCATTCAAACAATAATCGGAATTACATGCTTATTTCAATATGTTAAGTGCTTACAACAAATACACCCTTCCACACATTGGTATAAGAGCCTATTGGCCTAAGTTACTGGCTTGCTTCTTGGAAAATTTCTTGTGTATTTGTGTAATTCTTGATGGCATGATAGATTGAATATACTCTCTTGAAATTGTTTGTTACACATATTGTGTGTTATGTATCTTGTCTAGTTATTACTATGTTGGTTTCTGTATGTGGTGTGTTTGTGTGTTGCTTTGCATCCATAAGTAGGATGGAAAGTGGACTTAGGCTCTTCCAAAAAGATTTCATATGAAGGTTACTACCATTCAAGAATCTATTGGCTTTTTTTTTTTTTTTTTTTTTTTTTTTTTTTTTGAATAAAACGAGAATTTATTAACTTAGCAAATCGAAGCATAAAGCTCATACACAGGGAGACAAGGAATGGTAAATCATTCCGTACAATCTGACTTAATATCATTCTTGTCAGCTGATGAGTCTAAAACTTTTGAAAACTATGTTGAAAAGAATTATGAACAATTGTACAACAAATGGGAGATATTGTTCAAAGCGAACATACCATTGAATGGACAAATACAGATATATGAAAACATCATTGATGAGTTAAAGTCTGATTTGTTAAATCGTGAAGAAGATATCCTAAAGGGTCTCACTAGAGAAGAGAATCTTGCTAAGGAATTGGATTATCTTAGAAAACAAATCAAGATGCTGATCCAAATATACCTTGGATAAAATATTAGAATCTAGGGAAAAAAAAAAAAAGCTGAAATGTGACGGTAGAGACATGTATTTCTCAAAATGTGAATGTCCATTTTTGTGGACAAAAATATAAAAAAGAGGTTTGAGACATGCGTTTGATGTCAGAAGAGGTTTGGGACTTGCGTTTGTGGTTTGACCACTTCTGACATCAAACGCATGTCCCAAACCTCTTTTTCATATTTTTATCCACAAAAATGGACATTCACATTTTGGGAAATACATGTCTCTACCTTCACATTTCAGTCTTTTTTCCAGAATCTAGCATGAAGCATGGTGATAAATTTGGTCTTTGTTACAATCGGGTTGTTCCAAAGATCATGAAAACCAAGTTTGTCAAAGCTATTGCATTAAATTTTGGTGGACAAGTAATTGCAACAGTGTTAAGACCACATATTAGGAAATCGAGATAGTACATTTCTACTTGTCATTACGGTGAAAGAAAAGGCCACATAAGGTTTGAATGCTACTACTTCTATAAGGATCAAAGAAAGAAAAAGTTCCACACAGATTTTTCCCGTGCTCATTAGTTTATGTACTCGTCTAACTTAGATGTAATTTATTTTGTCTCTCGACTGAAGTTTGTATTTTGGTTTGTGTAACCACTTATGACTTTTCCTTTGGGAACCAACTCACCAAGGTATGGCTCTTGCATTTTGTTTTTCTTTGAGCTAATATTATAATTTACCATTACCCAAAAAATAGTTGTGTTATGTTCTCTTAGGGGAAGGTAATTTCACTATTTTGTGACAAAGAGAGATTATCTCAATAATCTTGTAATCTTTTCAAGGTCACAAAACTAGTAGCCGGGAAAAACCACCCTGGATAAGCATCTATCTATCTATAGAGTAAAATTATAGAAATGCTTCAAGTAACGTAACTAACAAAAAGTGCATATTTTCTTTGGTAGATATGATATGATATCATTATAATAAAAAATAATATAAGCCTAGGGCTCTCGGAACCAAACATGTCACAAACATGAAATATACAATCATAAAATCTTTAATCTCTCTCCAACATGATGCAGTGAAGGGTTGCTTTTTTTGGGTGTACCTTGGGTTTTCACCGTCGAACACAATGACTAATCCCCTTGTTGAATTGTATGCACCTCTTTTGGGTGGGACAGCTGGCCTGGAGATTTAAGGCAGTGAAGGGTTGTTAGTCTTCCTTGGATATGCCAAACAGAAAGTCTGGGTCTGTTGGATCCGGTTCCCTATTGAAATCCTGGACATTTGCAGGATTATCAAAACTTGTACCATTAACAGTGGTGGTATTTGGTGTAATAAGACCTTGTGATTCCATTGATTCCCTTGCTGCTTTTTCCTTGGCCTTTTTAGCCCTATCCAAAACCTCTTCCTGCATTTTGCAATAATAATGTTTGAAGTAAGGTCTTGGCATAATTACAAGAATAGCTTAGCTCACAGCTTCTAGTTGGAGAGTTAATTTTTTACTATGGAACAATTCAATGAACAGTCAGAATGTATGTGTTGTTGAAGCACACTTCAGGTTTGAAGGTGGCAGTTAAAAAAACAAACAAACAAAAAAGGAAGCCCCCATCCAAACGGCAAATTATACCATGGACCAATCCAAAATGACATTCAAATTATGTTTCTGCAATTAACATATTATGTCTCCAGTTAATAAATTATGTGTCTGTAAGTAAATTGAATGCACATAATATGTTAACCACAGATAGATAATAATTTAACTGCATATACATAATATGAAGTTAACATATTATGTGTTTGTAGCTAACATATTATGTACTTTTAATATATTTATAAGCATATAATCTGTTAACTAAAGACACATAATATTTTAATTGCAAACACATAAGTTTTGGACTAGAATCTACAATGCAAGGCGAACCTGATCCATGGTATAATAATTGCATCCAGATCTACTATGATTCATATTCTCACCATTAGACTTCTTGGATCTACTCCCCTCTATCCATTGCTGGATTTAAGTATTTGGAGAAATTATAAGCTTCACTACAACACATACATTATACTGAATCAGAATCTTTTGTAGGATACATATCTAGAAATCCTTTGGGTAAGAAATTAAAATAAAAGTGCACTAGCAGATTAGGCTATAAAGAGCCAGAACAAGTCTGGGCAATTCCATGATTAGTCATTCAAATTTCGGGCATGCAATCTCAACCAAGAGTATATTGGTTTACACAATTAATGGTGTGTTTGGTTCATGGGATTAGACACAAGGAATGAGAATGAAAAGTCATACACATTATTTGGTTGACAACTTTTTAAAACACAGGTACAAGATTTGATTTACCCTTATACTTACAAAACTCATTACTTAATTTAAATAAGGTATCATTTTATTAATTTAAGTTTATCCCTCCTCATTTCGTCGCCTTTTCACTCACCTCTCCTTACTTCATCTAAATTCCTCACTGCATTGCCTACTCATTTCAACGTCAGATCAAATGTCTTAGATTTTTTATTTTTGTATTTTTAAAACCTTTATACTGATTGTAAAGTCATACATAACCAAACAGTAATCATTCTAATTTCACCCTACTACCAAACATGCAAAATACTTTCATCAAAATTCATTCCAATTACCAAGTATTTTGATTCCCATGTTCAAACCAAACACCTCCTAAGTTTCTTGTCTCATGACTACAAACTCAAAAGTAAGAGTGTTAGAACAGAGCTTTCGGTAAACTACTCATGTTTCGGTTCATAAACGAACAGTGAGTCTGAACAGTTCATGAACAAGCAGTTAAGTATATATATATATAGAGTTAATACCCAAAATCGTCCTCGACTATAATGGTTTTTCTCAATTTCGTCCTAAACGACTTTGGTGACCTAATATCGTCCCAGACTTTTGTGTTTCGCTCAATTTAGTCCTCCATTTGTTATTCCGTCAAATTGGTGTTAAATAAAGGGACAATTCAGTAATGTCAATATTGATCTCTCTTTACTTTCAACTTGTGAAGTGCGAAATTCCTCTTTCTTGTACGAATTACACCCAGAATTACTCCCGGACCTGCAAATCAAATTTTATATTCGCAGTTTTAGGAGTAATTCTTGGAGTAATTAGTAAAAAAAAAAAACGATTTTGCAGTTCACATGTCTTTGAGTAAAGATATGTCAATATTAAAATTACTGAATTGTCTATTTATTTAACACCAAATGGACAGAATAACAAATGAAGGACTAAATTGAGCAAAAACACAAAAGTCTGGGACTAAATTGAGCGAAACACAAAAGTCTGGGACGATATTAGGTCACCAAAGTCGTTTAGGACGAAATTGAGAAAAACCACTATAGTCGAGGACGATTTTGGGTATTAACTCTATATATATATATATATATATATATATATATATATATATATATATATATATATATATATATATATATATATATATATTTTGAGTGCTTCTGACTTTATTACAATGTAGTATCTGTTCATATCTACTTTCTCAACCTAATACCACCCTCACTAGGGCTCGTACCATGATCTCCCATTTGTGAGAGACACTACATGCCACTAGACCGAAAAGTCATTAGCACATATATATATATATATAGATGAGTGCAAACGATTTGTTCTCACATTCTCACCTAAGCAAGTGTTATCATATGATTTTAAATCTATATATATATATATATATATATAGTTTTTGTGTTGTTTGTTTGATTATTGTATGTGAACATAAATTATATCTTGTTTACGAACAAAATTGTGATCATGAACATGTGTATGTGTTTGTATTTACAAACGTGAACGAACATGTTTGTGAACGTGTTCATTAATGAGCATGTCTGTAAACGTGTTCGGTAACACATTTAACAAACGAACACGAACAAGATTTTCAAAAACCTTAATAAACGAACACGAATACTTCAAAAATCTTAAAAAACAAACACAAACAACCTCCGTTCGTTCATGTTTGGTTCGTAGCCCTGCTCAAAAAAAGACTTGTACCTTTTGAACATAATATTAATATTCAATTTTTGTACCATCAGTTTGAGTTTCGCTGTAGAAATGAAGAGTACCTGGAATTCCTGCACCTGTTTCTGTTGTTCAGCTTGCAACCTCCCAATTGTACTTAAAAATTCCCCCACTGTAGACTCTACACGCTCACTAAGAGCTTCCCCTATAGCCTTCCCCAAGAAGAAAGCATCCAGAATGGTTTTACTCTCATTCTCACCTGCAATATCCAGCACCTCTTATCGCCCAATCTATTTAACTTATTCTAACATCATAAATTCCTAATACTCGAATTAAAATTGGTTCAAACAAATAATAATAATAAAGTAGAAAAATATTCCGGATTAAAGATAATTCAAATCCCCCCCCCCCCCCAAAAAAAAAAAAAGGAAATTCATGAAAACACAAAAAGAGAGAGAATGAATCACCAGGAGCAGGACCACCGGGACTCGCACTGCTACAGCATCTGAGCGTCAATCTCCGGGACTGGAGATTGATGGAAGGGAGAGGATGGCGGGGCGACGTGCGTGGGGCGATATAACAACGTTGCTGTGGGAGATGAAACCTCGAATGAGTACGAGGATACGAATAAACTAAGGAGGAAGACGACGGACATACTGAGTTCATCTTTTCCTGGTCCTCTTCTTTCTTCTTCTCCTTCTCCGATTGGTGCTTTAATGGATTCCGGTGAGATTTGTGAAACTGTCACTCTGTCCTCATTTCTAAATTTGGAAAACCATTCTCTCTTCTTTCTACGTCTAGTCCAGTAATGATAGGGCACCACTGGCCGGCCCAATAATTATTGGGCTGCCTCATAGTGTAACCCAAAAGAAGTGTTAATTTTAAAAGTTACTCGCTCCATGCATGGTGCACACCGTTGCAAAAACGACGTCGTTTTAACGTCTAACTTAAAAAAAAAAAATCAATTTTAATTGTCGTTAATAGCGTTATGTTGTGCATAATTTAAAATATACATCCACAACTTCATAACTATACATTCAGAATTGCATAACTACACATTCATAACTTCATAAGTATACATTCAGAATTGCATAACTACACATCCATAACTTCATAATTATACACAATGTTGCAAAAATCGCGCCTAGGCGCTAGATGGTCTGCCTCCTAGGTGCCCTAGGCGCTCTAGGCGGTCCCCAAGCGCCTAACGATTTTTTCAACATTGACAATACATTCAGAATTGTATAACTACACAGTCATTCACTTCATAACTATACATTCAAAATTGCTTAACTAGACATCTATAACTTCATAAATATACATTCAGAATTGCATAACTACACATCCATAACTTCATAACTATACATTCAGAATTGCATAACTACACATCCATAACTTCATAACTATACATTCAGAATTGCATAACTACACATCCATAACTTCATAACTATACATTCAGAATTGCATAACTACACATCTATAACTTCATAACTATACATTCAGAATTGCATAACTACACATCCATAACTTCATAACTATACATTCAGAATTGCATAACTACACATCCATAACTTCATAACTGTACATTCAGAATTCATAACTACACATCCATAACTTCATAACTATACATTCAAAATTGCATGCATAACTACACATCCATAACTTCATAACTATACATTCAGAATTGCATAACTACACATCCATAACTTCATAACTACATTCAGAATGTGAAATTATAAAATTATGAACATATGTTTACGTAACTAACAGCAATCAAAAATGATTTTTTTTTTAAAGCAAAACGACGCCGTTTTTACAACCGGTGCACACGATTGCACAACATAATTTGCCAAGTTACTCAGTCAATTTTGTTTTTGTTTTCATTTTTATTTTTTATCTTCATTAAGTTGTTAAAAAGAAAAAAAAAATCAAAAGATGGGTTTCTAATTTTACCAATCGTTATACTATGGATCAGGGTCCACAGTGCAATACTGCAATGTAGTCCCTAGTTCTAAACGACATAGTTTTAAATTTTAATTTTGACAACGACGGTTTGTTGTTCAATTCACATTACATTTTCTTTTACTGTAAAGTATGTGTATGTCTCTTGTGTTATGCATTTCTATGTCTCATATTATGCAATTCTGTGCCTTAAGCGTATGGATTTTGTACCTGAAATAAAGTAAATATAACATGCATTTTTGTGTCTTGTGCTATGCATTTTTTGTGTCTTGTATTATGCATTTTTGTGTCTTATGTTATGCAATTCTGTACCTTAAGAATATCGATTATGTGCCTGAACTAAAATAAATATAAAACATGTGTATGTGTCTTGTGTTATGCGTTTCTGTATCTCATGTTATGCAATTTTGTACCTTTTAAGTATATGAATTCTGTACCTGAAATAGATTAATACGAAGTAGTTGTTAACACACAACATATTATGTGTCTTATTTTATGAATTTATGTCTTGTATCATGAAATTAAGTGCCTATAAAATATATATTAGGAATTCATTAGCATTCATCGCATTGTAACCCCTATATTTGGAAAAGTAATCAGAATTAATAAGGTATTATATATTAGGAATTCATTAGCATTCATCGCATTGTAACCCCTATATCTGGAAAAGTAATCAGAATTAATAAGGTATTATAAAGTTAATTCTATCTAAGGCTGTGTTTGGAAACTTGGAAAATGATTTCTGAAAATCATTTTCCGAGTTTTTCATGTTTGAATGGTATTGAAAAATCCAGTCAACGAAAAACAATTTCCATTGACCAGGGAAAATCAAGCTTCTTTGACGGAAAATGACTTCCGCCAAACATAAAACAATGGTTTCCGCCCATAAAACAATGTCTCTGGCAGAAACCAGACCACTGGTTTCCGCCGGAAACCTTAAAAAAAAAAAAAAAACGAGAGAAAGAGATCTATGATGGTTTCCGGCTGTGGAAACCAGACCTATGGTTCCGCCGGAAACCTTAAAAAATTAAAAATTAAAAAAAAAAAAAAAAAACAACAAAGAGATCTACTATGGTTTCCGCCGACTGTAGAAACCAAAGAGAATTTCTCTCCATCGGAAACCAAAGAGAACTTCTCTCTGGTTTCCACCGTTTTTTTGCTTTTTTTAAAAAAAAAAAAAAAAAAACTTTTTAATAATTAATATTATTTGATTTCAAAAATAAATAAATACTATTATAAATATTTTGATTTTAAACAAAATAATTAATTATATAAAATGTTTAATTATATAATTCTGCATCATTTTCCAGAAAATGAACCAAACACACAAAGACAGTTTTCTGCTATGCAGCTAAATGAAAAATATTTTCCGGAAATGACTCATTTTCCAGAAGTCATTTTCTTGCTTTCCAAACGGACCCTAAATTGAAATGAATCAAAATTAATTCCTAAAATGATCATAATTTACTTACTAATTTCCAATAAGTTACAACAACGAGATGTAGTAAGGAGCATGGTTGCAGTAGGCGCTAGTCGAGCGATAGAGGAGGCCTAGACGGTCTAGGCGGGCGCCGATACGGCTAACTAAAATTACAAAAAACAATGCATGTGTGTGGTGTATATATATATATATATATATATATATAATGAAAAGAAATTAGTAAAGCCGAGCTGACCGGGTTAATTCGACAAAAAAGGACGAGTTAACTCGGCCGAGTTAGGCGCTAGGCGACTGCCTAGACGGCCAAGTTAGTCGCTAGGCGAACACTTAGGTGACTGGTCACCTCGCCTAGGCGACCGACGAACGCTTAAGGAAGAAATTTTCACGGTGTAGGGGCGTCTAGACCGATTTTTACAACAGTGGTAAGGAGTTACTAAATAAAATATAAGAACACAACAACTTAGGTGTAAGCTCTCCGAACAATAAAGCGTAGGCAATAAGTGCAAGTAGCAATAAGAAGCAAATAGTAAGTCACCTTACTATCTTAGTGCTCCAACATCAATGGCGAGTAGTTGCATTACTACTCTAATTTTCAGTTGGAAAAAGTAATTTAAAATTTTCACAAGATATGAGCTCCTTTTAGGATTTAATTTGCACTCTCTTGCTGACATTGCGCACCAAAGACGAAAATAGTATCTATAGTCTTATACTATACAATTCAAATTCCTTTAAAAGTTAAATTGTACGTATACTAGTGCAAACCTACCTACTTTTCTAACATGGGGCACATACTCCTTCAGAATCTTTCAAAAGTTATATTTTTCCAACTTCATGAATATATTTGAGAATCAAATTCTTATTCACCTATTATATATTTTGAACGTATAATATATCAAATTCATCATCTCAATTAAAAGAATCTAAACCTACTTAACTTAACCCAAATTAAAAATAGACCCACTTAAATTAATAATTCAAAATAATCACTTAAAATGTGGATTTTACTAATTTTTCCAACATTCAAATATTATGGTTGAAAGTATATATGAACTCAATAGTTTGAAAAGAGCCGTCCGTATATGGCGTGGTTTTAATTTTTAATGCAGATCAGATGTAGGAAAGGAATCTTCTGGTGATGTTCAAACCAAGCAGGCTAAAGCATCTGTATGTTACCATATCTGATTCAAACTAGAGCTGCAAATCCAAGCAACATAATATAATGTGGATAAATATGAAATCTAATAAAATAAGTAGAAAACATAATAAATAAAATATGAATAAAAAAGACAAAAACGTGTGGTCAAAACTCAAAACATATATACTAGTAATAGTCTTCATCTATTTTCGTCAGCAGCTCATTAGTCCTCCCTAAATTATAGTATTTGGTCTTTGGCAGCCTCAACTCGTTCTAGAAGTACGTATGAAATATTCAGCATCTGGAACCACTATGAAACTTTCCTCCCTTCAAATATCAAAATCTTGATTATTGTAAAATTAAAGTTCTCTTAATGACCATGAAATAATTGAAATTTAACTTCTTTTTTCTTCTCCCAAACTTCTTCTTTTTATGTATATGCAGCTTCGTGTCTTCTTCATATTAATGTTATACTTTCTAGAATAATATTAAAATATATACAAAAAATTCAGATATATATATATATGGCTCTGTATAGTAATATAATTAGTTCATCAGTTAATTTTGATTTATTTAACTACTATTAGCTATTTGACTTTTAAACCGTCAATATGATTGTTTGGTTAGTTAATCAACTTTTTTGTAACAACTTATTGTTTCAAAATGTTAAAATTTTAAAAGTTGTTCAAAGAAGCTTTTTTGATTAGTTTGTTGAGAAAATAAATTATTTTTTTAATAGTCATTTTACATGTCATCAACTATCGGATAATATCTAATTTACCAAACATTTTTCTACAACCATCAAACTAATACAATCAGTTATTTAAACTCGCTAACTTAATCCGCTAATAGCTATTTGCTAAACATCCTTATAGTAAAAGTTCCGTAAAATGATTATGGTTAAATTTAAAATATATATATATTCTTTTAAAAAAAAACATCATAAGAGGCTTGCAAAGATTGAACCTCTCAAAATAATATGTAACAAATTATACAAGAGTTAATATTGTTAGAATTATAACAGGAAATGTGTTGATGTATTATGATAAGTTACACGTTGTATTTATTATTTTTTTTTTGTATGCTTACAAATTTTTTTTAAAAATTATGATACATTTTTTTAATGGAGCAAATAAACAATTATCTTATTGTGATGAGGTTATAAAACCTTTTACAATATTACGAATTTTGTCATTTCAAAATTTTTTGTTCAAACAACTTATTTTAAAATTTGAAATTATTGATGTGTATGGATA